AAAGAGAGGAGACCTCAATCACCTTTCGATCCATCAGTGGCTTCGCTCTGCCATCCCTGATTCACAACAACCAAGCTCTCCTATAGGTTTCCTATTTTTGAAACTTCCGCCACCGCCTTGTGCGGTACTACTGGTATACTATTAATTTATACCTGGTTGGTGGTTTGGAACATTTTTCATTTTTCCATCTATTGGGATTTTCATCATCCCAACTGACTTTCATATTTTTCAGAGGGGTAGGTATACCACCAACCAGTAATATATAATTCTAATAATAGGGATTTGATTGGTTTAATCAGACTATACTCAGACTTTTTGCTGGCGATTTGATGGTGATAATCAGACTTTAATATACTATTACCCTCTGCTTATTTAACATAGCCATGGAAAATCCACCCATTTTAAAGAACGGTAAACCATCTATTTCGATTAGGGCCATCTATACCAACCATGGCAAACTGTGAATGTCATAACCAGGTTGGGTAATTTATACTATGAATGGATTAGCATATTACTATCAATGGATTGGTTTAAGGGAAAATTTACACCGGAAACCCCAACCAATTTCATGGTAAAAAACCATGGGTTTCCGGTTCAGATTTAACAAAACCAATCCAGTGAATGAATGGATTACCATATATGGGTATGGGTCAATACCTATAGATACCATTTTTAGTGGGTTATTCACATCCATAAATCCCAGCTATTTTGATGTGAACAGAAGGGGTACCAGGGTTTTGACCCATCCCCATATTACCAGGGTATTGGATGATGGGAAAATTTACAGGAAAACCCTGTATTTGATGGTAAAAACCCATGGGTTTCCGGTTAAGATTTTCCCAACAAAACCAATCCAGTGATACTACCAGGTCGCCTCGAAGCGCGACGCCTGCACCACCTCCTAGGCATGGTTTGTTTTCACCGGAGAAAAGATGGGGATTTCACGGGTAAAACATGGGGATTCACCAAGCATATGCAAGAAAAAATGGTGATTTCTTCTTGGTAACCACCAAAAATACGGGGATTTCCCACGAAAAATTGTGTTTTTGTTGGTTGTTACGAACAAGAAATGGAGATGAAGCAGCAAAAATGGGAACTTCACTGGTAACTGGGGATTTCAGCAAAGGGTAAGGATTTGACCAACAATTACGGATTCGAAGAAGTGGAGACTAAAAAGATAATCAGCCAAAGTGGGACTTTTTTTCGAGAAAGAGGACCAAGAAAACATAGACCAAAAAAATCGAATGAGGATTTGACATAAAGAACACATTGGTTTCAGCTATTGTTTTTGACGACATATAGGACACCAAACCGTGACGATCCAAAATCTGTCGGGCTCATTGATCCACTGGGTTGAAATTTCCAATGATTCAATTCAAAGTTGGTGAACTGGGAATTCCTATGTTTTTTTTGATAGTAATTCCCAGTTTATACTGTCAGGAATTGCCAATGATTCCTTATGTTTTTTTAAATACTGGTGATTCCTATGTGATATCATTATACTGTTTATACTTGTTCTGCTAGATTCGTGCCCGTGTTTGATGGTAAAAAAAGATATCAGTTTTGCCAAGATCACCTATTACATTACATCGCATCATATCTAATTATGTATCCCATTCCATCCCACTATAAACATTACCAAAAAGAGGAAAACACAAAACACAATTTACCAGTATCTCAGTAGCATTCCATTTTTTTGGCGGAAGTAACTACGTATATATATATATGTATATATATCGTATGTAGATCCACATATTCCTCAATATATCACCATATATACATCCTCATATATCCCCACTTTTGTTCCCAAATTCCTCCTTACAACCCCCGTATTATGACCCTAGTATATCCCAATATATCCCCATTGTTCTTGCTTAAGTTTTTGGCTAAATCACTACATTTCCCCTCAAAAGATATCATTCTATCTGAGTACATCATTGTTATTCCACTATTTCCCTTCATCATCTCTCATTCAATGGTTATTCATTCCCATTTTTGTTCCCATTAAATCACAACTTTCCTTTTTTTTCCATATTTTGTCCCATGATATCCATATTACATATCTCATTATATATCCATAGTTTAACCATAATAAGCCATAATTTACCCTCTGGTAAATTAATATGGTAAATTAACATAGACCCTGAAAATAGCCATTGTTTAGTTGAAACTCATCTTCCAAGCCCGATGACTGCCAGGGTCGTCATGTTAGTTTACCAGAGGGTATCCAGCACATGGATATCCCAGGGGCGCCTTCGGCCGAACGCAGCAGCCTTGCAGCCAAGAGCATTCCGGCCTTTGTGCCTCGGCCGTGGAAAAAGAAACCAGCAATTGATGGTGAGATCGTGATGGTTAATCGTGTTTACCCTCTGGTAAATTAACATACACAACCATCTATTATTCATGATCCCCACTAATCCTCATACCACGAACTGATTATCATAGCCCCTATGATGTGAATCATACAATTACCCTCTGGTAAATCAACATTTGGACCCTGAAAATCACCCATTTTTAATGGAAACTAGTCTTCCAACCCCGATGACTGCCAGGGTCGAACTGTTAATTTACCAGAGGGTAATTGTGTTTAATACTTGTTTAATTTTGTGAATAGTGTTTGATAGAGTTAATAATTTACTGGTTGACCAAACTGGGATTAGTGAAGATTAATTAATAAGGATTCATAGTGGTTAATGATGGCGAATTGATGGTTAATAGATGTTAATAGTGTTTTATGCTGGTTAATACTGGTTAATAATGGTTAAATACTGGTTAATAATGGTTAATCGTGTTTAATGCTGGTTAATGCTGGTTAATACTGGTTATATAATACTGGTTAATACTGGTTAATACTGGTTAATAATGATTGACAATGATTGATCATTGTTAATAGTGGTTAATGGGGATATAGTAATAATCTACCATTAACCACTATATCCATTAATAATGGGGATAATATTGGTAATCACTCTACTGGGGATATAGTGGTTAATAGTGGTTAATGGGGATATATATGTTTTTTTTTTACTCACTGGCCATGCAACAGGAACCGATTCATTGGAGGTACCGATTCCATAGAAAAAAAAACCTATTCACCCCGCTTCGCGTGGGGTGGCCGCCCACACCGCAGGTTTATTTCGGTCCGTGAGAGGGGCTAAGGGTGGTTTTCCCCCGTGGGGGCTCCCCAAGCTAAGAATTTTCACTTTCCCCCCCCGTGGGGGCTCCCCAAGCTAGGGAATTTTCACTTTTCCCCCCCGTGGGGGCTCCCCAAGCTAGGGAATTTTCACTTTTCCCCCCCCGTGGGGGCTCCCCAAGCTAGGGAATTTTCACTTTTCCCCCCCGTGGGGGCTCCCCAAGCTAGGGAATTTTCACTTTTCCCCCCTGTGGGGGCTTCCCAAGCTAGGGAATTTTCACTTTTCCCCGCCGTGACAGCTTCCCAAGCTATGGAATTTTCACTTTTCCCTCCCTTGGAGGCTCTCCAAGCTGCGGAATTTCAAATAGCTAGACAACGACGCCTAGATAGTCCCCCAAATCCCGTGTTCTTTGAATGTGTTTCCATGTTTTTGCAATGGTTTCCTTCAAAGCACGGTACTTTACACTTTTGTCGCCATAAAACCGGTCGAAAACATCATGTTCGACAATGCTTCCAATTCCCTTATCTCCCCAACCGTTGAAAATACCGCTATTTACAGTGTTTTCTTCAATTTTTCCATGTGCCAATGCCGGTAGCCAACTCCAACATATATATAAGAAATCCTTCCAAAACATTGTTTTTGACAGTGTTTTTCCAATGTTTCCAGTCAAACAGACGGTAATTTACACGTTTTTTGCCATAAAGGCAGTAAATCCTTCCAAAACATTGCTTTTGACAGTGTTTTTGTAATGTTTCCAGTCAAGCATACGGTAATTTACACGTTTTTTGCTATAACGTCAGTCCAAAACACTTGTTTTTGCAGTGTTTTCAATGCTCTGGCATCCAAAACCCTGCAAAATCTTGCTATGTACAATGTTTTTTTCATTTTTGGCCGTTTTTCCATTGCCGGAAAGCTACCAAAATGACCCAAAATTCCATTTCAATACCCTCTTGCGCTCAGACACCCAAAAATCCTCGAAAAATGTCGAAAACACCACCGTATTCTGGTCTCGGTGCGAAACCGTTTTTGGCCCCCCCCCAGCTAAAGCTGATATAGCGACTGCTATATTAACAAATGTCATTGAGCATTTAGTGTTGCTGTTGCCCCCCAATAAGCACGCCTTCACCGCCAAAGCGGTGTGGGCGGATTTTTCAGGCCTATTTTTTAGGGAATATACGTACTGACTAATCCCATTTTCCCAAGATGATTGATACACCCAGAACGCATGGTACCATGATCCAATGCAGGGTGGGAAAATGGGTGGGATGGGGATGGGAAAGATTCGTCAGAAAAAGTGGGCTGACCGCCTGGCGGGTACCTCTTATTGGGGCTTACTACATTGATTGTTTCTGGGCATTTTTTTATCAGGACCTCACTGTTCGACCGAAGCCTGAAATCGTGGCTAGTAAGGGAAATCATCCCAAAATGGCCGAACTATTCAGGTTGGTGAATTTTTATTTACCCAGATTGTTTGCCTGCTGTAAATGGGGGTACATACTAGCCAGCTGAACACAAAAGAACATTGCATGGTATCTAGGATTTGCCGTGAATACATGAATATTGGTGAGGGTTATATAACCAAGTAAGAATACCTATGATTTTATCACGCAACATGGGTTTAACAAACAATCAACACTTGTGAGCTAAAGAAATCCACAATGGGGTTTAAACACCAGAAATTGGGCTTCATTAAAAGCGGTGTTTTTTTTTGCCAACAGATGGTGTTTCAGCCACTCAAAATGGGGATTTCTCCAAGTGCCTGGAAGTGCCTGGCCATGGATCCACCCAAGCTGGTTATGACTAACAGCAATAGCCATGGAAGTTATCACCATGCTATTATAGCTAGGTAAAGCATCTATTTCGATAAATGGATATAAATGGGCCATCTATAAATATACCATGGCAAACTGTGAATGTCATAACCAGGTTGGGTAGTACGCAAGGAGCACAGAGTTCCGACATTGGATTGTCATGCCAACATCCCACAAGGTGGTGCCCTATAGTTAGCTAAGTTGGTGGAGATAACTCCCATAACTATGGTTTATGGTACTTATAACTATAGTATTCATGGGGTTTATAAACCAACGTTCACATCACTGGGGGGCACCATCCTGCAGGCAGCTGGTGACCATTCTGGTTGCTTTTTTTTGAGGTCACCAGCTGCCTGCAGCTGCCGGCGTCTGCGGCCTCTGCGTCGACGTTGGGACGCTTGGTGGGACACAGGCCTGGAGATGGTGGTCCGGGTTGGTGCGGCTGGAAATGGTGCTTGGAAATGGCCGGAGATATCATGGGACTTTCTTTATATGGGATGTAATGGGATACAATGAGGATGTACCCTCTGGTAAACTAACATAACTATGGAAAATCACCATTTTTCATGGGAAAACTCACTATCAATGGCCATTTTCAATAGCTATTTTGACATAACCAGAGGGTATTTAAGAGGATATAATCGGGATATATGGGGATAGAACGGTTAAATTCTCCCAGTGATTGGGATATGTTGGGACTCGATGGGAAATGGCCCAGTCGAAATAGTGGATTTTCCCATTAAGAATGGTGGATCTTTCCATTGCTATGTTAGTTCACCAGAGGGTATAGCCAGCAAACACGTGAGTAAAAGACAGTAATAGCTGATCATGGTCAATCATTGGGTGAATCACAATCTAGTAATCAACCAATTCATCACCATTAATAAGGCTTTGAGTCTGCAAATATGATGGATACTCCAAAACGGCAAAAATTGAATGGGACATTATGATGATTTTTTCCATGGAATTTCACAGAACCAACTCGTTTGATATGGATGGATATGGCAATTTCATCAACCAACTCGTTTGATGAAATCCACAATTTATGTGTACACGTATATAACAAATTCCTTAGGATTGATTGAACAAATGTTCCATATATTCTTAAAGCTGTTTTTGCACAGATTTGCACTCTGGTAGGCTGAAGTGGGGATGGGGCAATCCGCTCAAAGACAACAGATGCTGGTCATTTTTCATACGTACGGTGGATGGAAGAAATCCTGCACCAGGTGATAATCTCTGCTCCTAATACTAAAACACCCCCCAAATGTTAAACACGGTGATCTATTTTTATTATTAAGGGGTATTTTGTATTGGGGTGCCCCTAATATTCATGAAAACCCTAGTAACAAAAATAAGAAACTCGATTTCAAATTTGATTAAATCCCTTATTAAAATCTATTCAAACTATATATTGCCAAAAACTGGCTTTCGATGCTTTTCCCTAATAATCCAACGAAAACCTTAATAATAGAAATAGAACATAAAAATTGTGAGATGGGACTCTAATAAGAAACCTCCAGGTACCATTCTATTTTTATTAATAGGGGGTACAACCCGTTATTTCACCATAATGTTCTCCTATTGATTTTCAATTACCACAATTAAGAACGCAATTGTAACCCACCAAAAAAAACGAAATTGCCAATCCATTCCTATTTTCATTAATTGGGGAGTTTTAGTCATAGGGAGAAGAGATTAGGTGGTTTATCCCATTATTTATAGGGTTTCAACCATCCAAGGTGATGCAGGATTTCTTCCATCCACAGTATGTAAACCATTCCGCCATTCCAACTTTTGCGGGTGACCAAATTTAACTCAGACCCACTTGGTTAAGAACTGACACCGTGTTTACCCACATCCCTTTGTTATTCCCAATAATTTCCCAATATATCTTACTGGTTGGTGGTTTGGAACATTTTTCATTGTTCCATATATTGGGAATGTCATCATCCCAACTGACTAGAACTCGATCATTTTTCAGAGGGGTAGGTATACCACCAACCAGAATACAATATGTAACCATTACTAACCACCATTAACCCCAATCAACCACCATTAATGGTCATTAACCACCATTAACCACCAATATATGACGGTATTGTCATCAATCCTTGGTGATAGTTTTGGGAAACTCGACACAAAACACCAAAAAAGCATGGATTCCTCTGAGAAACTCAGTGGTTTTTTCCTGTAAAATGTCCCTTAAACCAATCTATGGTTAATAATGGTTAATAATGGTTAATAATGGTTAATAATGGTTAAATAATGGTTAATAATTGGAATAACACTATAGCTGGTTGGTGGTGACTGGAACATTTTTTTATATTCCATTTCATATATGGGATGATCTTGCCCATTGATATTTTTCAAGATGGTTACAACCACCAACCAGTATCCATTGAGTCTGGATTCCCGGGAAACGAGGGAAACGAGGGAAACGATGGTTTGACAGGAGTGCTGCTGGCGAGTCGTTACTGACCTCTGTCCTAGCGGACCATGATCGTTCGCAGCATGCTGAGAGACAGGTGCACGGTGCCTGCGGTGCCGGTTGAGGGATCCTGGGAGAGTAATCAAACATGGCTGGGGAACCCCCCCCAAAATGGATTACCAGTGGGTACAGGTAGATAATGGACAATCTGACTACCCTTGATGGATTACCCCATGATTAAATGGAGGAATGGGACAATCGAATCTTTCCGTTGCCATGTTTGATTACCAGTAGTCAGATTATGTCAGATTTCATCCGCATTCAGTCTTGATATAGCTCTATATCTACTAGGCGTGCGCTTCGTGTTTTTTTTTTGGTACACTCCGACTCTTGTGGCTAATCTTGGGTAGCCTGCAAGGATGAAGTTCTTAGGTATTTGATTCCCCGATTCTAGGCGATTTTTCAGTTGTCCATTCAATATCAAATACATCCCTTCCCCTTGAAACACCATGTTTTTTCATGGTTAAACCTCCATTTTTTGCTTTTTTTCATGGTAAAACCTCCATTTTTCATGGTTAAACCTCCATTTTTTACCACTCAAAAAAATCCGTGCAGCCCTGGGGGCTCTTTTCATGCTCGAGGCATTGCTGTCGTTAGTGGAGGGCTTGGATCTTGCAGATCCTGAAGGAGAAGCAGAGATCTTCACGGTTGGAAGAGTGGTATTCAATAGCCAATAGGATTCCATAAACTTGGTTTATAATGTGTTAATAATGGGATAATTAATGCCAAAACGGACCAACATGTGTTTTTCATGTTGTTAAATGGTTAATGGGAAGATAATTGATAGTAAACATTATAGGATTTCAATAGGGGACATAACGTACATACATATATATATATATAAACAATCACAGTAGCCAATAGGATTCCATAAACCTGGTGTAACGGTTAATAATGGGATAATGACGGATAAATGAATATAAATGATGGGATAATGATTGGTAAAAATATGGTTTATTTGGCAAACCCCAGAATAAAACGATCATAAACCACCCAAAATCACCATCAAAGGATGCTATAAACTATCCCCAAATGGTAGGTTTATTGGTGGGTTTACCACATTAGTTGGAACTTATAGCAGACCCGAAAATCGAACGATCCAGGAGTGCAAAAAAACCTACTGAAATGATGATAAAACTTACAGGTTCTGCATATTTTTTTCTGGTTGCCATATTTCTCCTGGTGATTTAACCAAAACTTTCTGGGCAACAGGCATTAAACATGGGGGCTTCAAACAATGAACCATTCAACTTGGACTGAATCTGACTTTCCTCGTTGGTAAATGTCCCACTGGGGTAGACATCACCTCAAGATTCTTGGTGCTGATTTTCCTATATGGGGGAGTGTATCAACCTACATGTTTTGTTTGACATATTCACAAGAAATCCAAAGATCTAACAAGAAGTTTGCGGCAGAAAATGATGATCCATGAATGATTTTGGGAGTCCATCTTTGAGACATTCCAATAAAAACCACACTTCAACTTAAATCATATTGTTGGCTAAACACGCCCCGCCAAGTACAGTGTATCCCCAGAAAAAAAATCGCAATCATCAATCTTTTTTAAATCTATATAGGCAACCCTCCAAATTGTCGAACAATTGTAAACCTGGAACATGTGGAGAACCATCATTTATGACATACTGGGGCTTGGCATCTCCCACAATCTTCGGCCCAGTCACCAGCTCTTTTCACAGGAGAAGCTCCCTCCGGGGCGATTCAGTTGTGCGCTTTGCAGCCACTGTGGTAAAGCCAATGCCAAAACGGACCAACATGTGTTTTTCATGTTGTTAAATGGTTAATGGGAGGATAATTGATAGTAAACATATAGGATTTCAATAGGGGACATAACGTACATATATATATACCAATCACAGTAGCCAATAGGATTCCATAAACCTGGTCTAATGGTTAATAGTGGGATAATAATGGATAAATGATGGGATAATGATTGGTAAAAAAATGGTTTATCTGGTAAACCCAATAAACCCAATAAACAACGACAACAAACCACCCCCAAAATCACATTTCTTTAGGTGGGATTTCAACCATACCCAAATGGTATACGTTTATGGCATTGGGTTTACCCTCTGGTAAACATTTACATAACTATGGAAAGATCCACCATTTTTAATGGGAAAATCCACTATAAATAGCCATATCAATAGCTATGTTAAATTACCAGAGGGTACCAGTCATTAACTATAGATGGAATATGGGAATATAATTTGGGGTATCCAACAACTTGCAATATTTAATATTTGGGTGTAGGATGGGGATATGAATTATGATGCAGTAGTCATGATTTACCATCTGGTAATTTAACATTTTGCCATGGAAAATCATCATTTTTGATGGGTAAACCATTGAACGAAATGGGCCATGTCCGATACTTATATTGCATGACCAGAGGATATAGCCATGGGAATTTGACGGAGATTTTCCCGTGGATGAGCAAACATGTTGATTTAAATTCAGCAAACATTTTCCCGTGGGTGACATTCTCAGGGAATTGAACTGCGGAACTGTTGACAGACTGATATGTCAATGGGAATTCCAGGATCCTAAAATGGAGGTACGTTAGTACCATATAAGGCCATATTTTGTGGGGATATTCTCTTACATAGGCCTTATATAGGCCTCATATATGGTAGGTACCTCCAATTTAGGTTCCTGAAATGGCCATTGAATATAACAACCAATCATCCGGAAATTTCCAGGTAAACTTATTGGTGCTTTGAGAAGCAGTCTTGAATAAATTAGCTAACAGCACCGATAAAACTATGTTAAGTAGCCACGAACTTTTCAATGGAAATTTACTATCCGTTTTTTTAATGGATAAACTCACTGGTGGATGATCGGTGTGTCAGAAATGTGTTGCCACAAAGGAAGAATGCCCTGCAAAAAATATGGGACTGGCAGCTTGATGTGTTCCAATGTTTTTTCCTAGAAAAACTATAGGCTTTCCGTAGCAGCAAGGTTTTTCACAGGGAAGTTTCGCCCAGTGGATGTTGAATGGGTTGCATCCCAACTTAAGATCATCCAAAGGGAAGCATCACGTAGCCTCGTTCATCATGGCTGGAAATCCCTCATTTAGACTACCCTCTGGTAATTTAACACAACTATGGAAAATCACAATTTTTAATGGGAAAATCCACTATAAATGGCCATTTTCAATAGCTATGTTAGTTTCCAGAGGGTAATCTTTGTAGTTCGATGATTTTCCCATGAAAAAACATCAACACCTGCATATACTACGGGGATTTCCCAGGAAAAATGTGTGATTACCCCAGGATAAAAAATCCTTACAAGATTTGAATAGTATCCAGTATGGAGTATCCCCTTCCCATATCCCATACAAACATATCCCATCAAACAGGGCTCCCAGCACCCCAGATAGAGGGAAGAAAAACTCGGCAAAGGAATGAAATGACCGAAATGATAAATTTAAAACCAAAGAAAAGTGGGCTATGGTCCACCTCAAAAAGAGAGGCTTGGAGCTAAAAAAACTGGCGAATGTCCAGGTACATCAGTGCGCATCCGTGCATCTCCTGCACTGCGGTCTTCTTTCAACTGACCCACATGTGGCCAGGCCAGGCTGACATGCAATGGCCACTGGGTAAGCGCATCGTGAAGAAATCACCAGTTGAATAGGTAGATCATCGCTACTCATTTGAGGGATTGCTGTTAGGGATGGTACACCTTCAAATTGTGGATGGTTTATGTGCTGTCCTTTGTTTAGGTATTGTTCAGGTTGATTTACGAAGCAAACAGTAATTGACCATCACCCGAATGTCTTGTTCCTTTTAAGGTTGCTGACAAAAGCGCTTGGTTCAATGAGGGATGCGTTTCTCTAAGCCACATGAAGCATATCCACACCTGAAAAGTCAAGATCCCATTCTGTTTGGTCAAACGGCATTGACCATTTTTCGTCACTACGGCTTTGACCACTTGGAGCCGTTTTGCTGTATAGGCCTATGCCATTTCGTTGACACAATGTTGAACAGTTGCGGCTGCGGTTTTACTATAGGTAGGCCAGCAATGCTTATTTGATCTCATTTGGCTGGACATTTTGTTTGGTCATTGCGGGTAAAGTTGATATTTGATCCCCCCAAATGCACGTTCCAATTCCGTATTTCTCATCGGACAAGTTTGGGATCACGGTCTTGCAGATACCATAAATGTGTGGATTTAGATCCAGCGCTGGGGATACACACCAGGACTGACGTTCGTTGATTGGAGAACAATTGAATAGGTTGAACCCATTGGTAAAACCGAGTTTGTAAATGACAACCAAACACCCAAATGCTAGCTGGTATAGTATCGAATAGTATACAGCTGCACGGTATACTGTTGGCTTCGTTACACTGATCGCCCAACGCATAATTTTTGGCTCAGTTTGGCTCAGCAGTCCGTCAACACAGCACCATGGCACTTCGCGCACTTCTGCTTCTGGCGCTCCTCTCCCTCCTTGATGCCAACGGTACTCCGCCTCCGCGTGCTGCCAACGGTACTCCGCGTGCTGCCCACACATCGCTGCGCGGCGGGGGCAACGGGCGCAAGGAGGTGAACGGCAGTGAGGTGCACACCATGACGACCAACATATCCAGCAACGTCACCAGGAAATTTCGGCCCTCCTTCCTTGAGTGCTGTATGTCAGATTGTAATTGTGAGCAAATTTGCTGCATGATGGGACCTTTTCCGCCGATTCATATAGACATCCCGAAGCCTCCATATTACATCTCAACGCCGGTGAACGGCAGTGAGGTACCCAACACCATGGCGACCAACATATCCAATGAAATCGGAGGCAATCTTTAAGCCATTTAAGTGCAGCCAATGTAGCAGTGACCAAAGCCTAGCCTAGCATGTTACTGTATAGAATTTCTGAGATTTTATAAGATTTGATAGGCGGTTTACCTTGATGAGCGGACTTTTCTGATCTGAAATTTTACTATCAATGTGAGACTTCCAGTTAGTCATCCAGAAGGGTATGATGCTGTTGGACACTGCTCATTTTCACACAGAAGTGTGGGCTGCCGAGGCGTTCGCGAGAGGGAACGC